CTCTGTCTCTCTGCTCTGTCTCTCTCTGTCTCTCTCTCTGCTCTGTCTCTCTCTCTGTCTCTCTGTCTCTCTCTCTGTCTCTCTGTCTCTGCTCTGTTTCTCTGCTCTGTCTCTGCTCTGTCTCTCTGCTCTGTCTCTGTCTCTCTCTCTGCTCTGTCTCTCTGCTCTGTCTCTCTGCTCTCTCTCTGCTCTGTCTCTCTGCTCTGTCTCTCTGCTCTGTCTCTCTCTCTGCTCTGTCTCTCTGCTCTGTCTCTCTGTCTCTCTGCTCTGTCTCTCTGCTCTGTCTCTCTCTCTGCTCTGTCTCTCTGCTCTGTCTCTCTGCTCTGTCTCTCTCTCTGCTCTGTCTCTCTGCTCTGTCTCTCTGTCTCTCTGCTCTGTCTCTCTGCTCTGTCTCTCTCTCTGCTCTGTCTCTCTGCTCTGTCTCTCTGCTCTGTCTCTCTCTCTGCTCTGTCTCTCTGCTCTGTCTCTCTGTCTCTCTGCTCTGTCTCTCTGCTCTGTCTCTCTGCTCTGCTCTGTCTCTCTGCTCTGTCTCTGCTCTGTCTCTCTGCTCTGTCTCTCTCTCTGCTCTGTCTCTCTGCTCTGTCTCTCTGCTCTTGGGCTGAGTGGATAGCACTCTCGCCTCTCAGCAAGAAGGTCCTGGGTTCGAATCCCGGTCGGACCAGGGCCTTTCTGAGTGGAGTTTGCATGTTCTCCCCGTGTCTGCGTAGGTTTCCTCCGGGTACTCCGGTTTCCCCTACCACTAAAAATATGTACAATAGTTCTGGCATGCGCCTCCTGTACTGGCCCCGCTCCCATCTCTGTGTGGAGTGAGAGACTAATGCCCAAAAAATAACAATTGTAAACCGCTTTGAGACTCAGATCTGCAGTGAAAAGGCGGTATATAAATAAACATGACTTACTACTTACTTGTTGTTTTACAGCACAATAGACAGAGACTCAGAGGAAGTCTGTTGGAATCTGTGGCATCCTGGACTCAAAGGAGGGAGTACCTTCAGTCTGTGGGACGTCCCATCTCAGCCACCAAGAGAATATAAGAGAGAGAGAGCAGGGCAGAAGGGATCTCCTCACGGACCCAGACCAGGGCACGGACCCAGACCAGGGCACAGCTCCAGACCAGGGCACAGCTCCAGACCAGGGCACAGCTCCAGACCAGGGCACAGCTCCAGACCAGGGCACAGCTCCAGACCAGGGCAGCAAGTGGAACAAGGCCGAGACAGGTGAGAACACTCTATAACTGCAGAACATGACGGAAAAGCAAAAACTTCATATAGATTCCGAAATAGCCACATGTGACAATATTATTTAATTTGTTTGTGTTTTTTCTGCACGTTTTTCTGCAGCAAAATTGCACAAAAAGGGACTTGTTCTGTTTGCGTTCAGAGCCAACTCCCTGTAGATAAAACAGCAGAGCAAACATTCCTGCTTGATTACCTTTGACCCATGTCACGGCTAAAAGTGACAGAACAGTAAACGCTCGGAGAGAAAAGGCGTGTGCTCAGAATAATGGGGTCAAAATGTCATTGCAGGTCTTCGCTCCGAGGTTGTGAGGATCGGCACAAAGACATTATCGGACCAGTCAGTGATGATTTATGTGCGGTCAAAGCTGCGGGAGTTAGCGTTAGCTGCTGTTTGTGCAATACAGAAAAGATGGATTAACAGATTTAAACTGGGATTGAAATAGCAGATTACAAAAGCAAAGTAATCGAGTATTTTCTTGCTGAGTAATGCTGAGGTCATTGGGAAACACATGAGGCTGAGTTTGGAGAAATAACAGCTGCAATACTTTGTTATAATGCATGGATTGGGATTAGGATTAAGAGCCCTTTATTTCGTCCGACTGTGGGGAAATTCCAGTGTTGCCTCACAAGTTACAGCTCAGTAGTAATGAGGAGCACACAATACAAGATATGTGATTATGAAGTAGGGGTAGAAGGGGCGAAGTAATCCAAGGTTTTTTATATGGCACAGAATAACCGCGGTACATTATAAAAGTTAATATACAATTAGCATAGCATCTTTAGCTTAATGTTGTCGAATTTTAATGTATAAAAGCATTAAATCTCTAATTAATCATTAATCCTGTGTTGGGGGGTGACAGTGAGTATTGGCCTCTGAGCCTGAAGGTTGTGGGTTCGACTCCAACGCAAGACCTACTCCACCGACTCCCACTGGTGTGTGCTGTTGTTGTGTCCTTGAGCAAGACACTTAACCCACTTTGCCCATAGGGAGGGAGTGGGACCTTCTTCTTGATTAGATCAGGCGTAAAAAAAATCATAACATTTGGAATTTTTAATCCTGAGATTTTAATTTTGCCTGAATAGCTGCGATGATCTAAAAGCACGTTTCTGTGATGTCATCCTGAAACAGATTATGCAATACACATTTTTGGATTATCGCCGTGACGACGGCTGAATGCACAGGGTTTCTCTCTGCAGTGACAGAGGCTGATAATAAACATGATACTGGATACATAATGGTGAGTTTTAATCCATAGATAAGACAAGGCAAGATTGCAGTTAAATGAAGAAATGGTACGGTAATGAATTCATAATGAGACAAACTAAAATAATAATAAAAAAATACATACATTAAAAAGTGAAAAATGGTCCAACCTAAACTAAAAAAACGATTAAAGACACGATTGTTTCCAAAACCACAACAGGAACAACACAGACCTTTGTTCTTCTGTTGCGTCATGAATCTTTCTCTCTGCACCTGTCAATCATCAGTCAACGGTCTCCACGTGTGACATCACTCAGAGGAGGCGGAGACACAATAAACTCTGGAACATTTGTGTCATGTTCTGATTTATCCACAAATGTGTTCAAACTTGCCATTTTCTTTTTAATATTTGTTAAAGTTTGCACCTGCTTCACCCTCGCTGCTTCCTGCTGCTGTCAGACTGTACAATGAGGACTGCTGACCCTGTACATGTCATTCATTTGTAAATAAGTAAATAATGTGCAATACAGAAATCTGAGAAGGTCCACTGCGTGTCCCTTTAGCGACGCATTGTAACAGAAATAAAAATACTGTGGGGAAACATCTCTAAACCCTAAAAGTGATCAAGTTATCGTGTGTTTTCAAATAGGAATGAACACGATCAAACATATCAGAGCAAAAATAAATCATACATAATTTGGAGCAGATATAAACCATAGACTGTATATAAACTGGACCATAGACTGTATATAAACTGGACCATAGACTGTATATAAACTGGACCATAGACTGTATATAAACTGGACCATAGACTGTATATAAACTGGACCATAGACTGTATATAAACTGGACCATAGACTGTATATAAACTGGACCATAGACTGTATATAAACTGGACCATAGACTGTATATAAACTGGACCATAGACTGTATATAAACTGGACCATAGACTGTATATAAACTGGACCATAGACTGTATATAAACTGGACCATAGACTGTATATAAACTGGACCATAGACTGTATATAAACTGGACCATAGACTGTATATAAACTGGACCATAGACTGTATATAAACTGGACCATAGACTGTATATAAACTGGACCATAGACTGTATATATTAACGGACAGAGTCATGGCTATCTCCGCCGTTCTAAATAATGGGCCAAAAAATTTGCTCTACTGGAGCTATCCAAAATGGCCGCGTGTGGTCCCGCCCACAAGAAAATGGTGAAAAAACTCATCTGCGCATGCGTCAGCCGGAGAGAGCCCCATTTATTTGAACGAGTGACTTCTAAAGTCCACAGCGACTAAACTAGACTGGTCCAGAACACTCAGCATTGACACACATGTGGAACGGAGCTTTGGGCCAAGAGCCAACTTTGGACCATCCTGTAAAGACGTTTTTGAGAGGTCTGCCAATGCTATATGTTAGCATTGGCTAATTCTACTTCTGGGTCCACCCCCACAGGCCCGGGGTGGTACTGCAGCATGTCAGCACCACCCCCACAGGCCCGGGGTGGTACTGCAGCATGTCAGCACCACCCCCACAGGCCCGGGGTGGTACTGCAGCATGTCAGGGTCCACCCCCACAGGCCCGGGGTGGTACTGCAGCATGTCAGGGTCCACCCCCACAGGCCCGGGGTGGTACTGCAGCATGTCAGCACCACCCCCACAGGCCCGGGGTGGTACTGCAGCATGTCAGCGCACGTCATTTTGGACACTTTTGAGCCGGGACCCGCCCACACTGATATAAATAAACCAATGGTGA